TGATAATCTGAAATATAACTTGTAAGTTATTATCTTGCACATTTTCTTCGTTCTCATTTGTCACTTTGTTTCTTGATAAATTCATTCTAAACGTCTCTATTGTTATCTGAACAATAAGTTAATTCTAATTTCTGTCACAGTCACCAATAAGATACTTTTTTTGTTTGTATTAGTAGTATTGTTTTTACCTGTAATAACTTATTAGTCGTTCTAACCTCTGTATACTATGGAAAGGATTTAATGCACTGGAGGACCAAAACATCATAATTCATAATATCGTTTGTGCACTATGAATTATGAAGAATCCGTGAATATCAAGCCAAGACAGCTATATACCATTTCATGGCTGTATAAACTATTGGATTCCCCTTTCAAAACCCTGTTACAACATCAAACAATGCACCATATGGGAGTCCCTGTAACTGTCTAGCCCACAAAAGCTGATAGTAGCATTTATTTAATCAAGATTATAAGAGATATTGCAACTGTATGGTAATCTGTGGTTCTAGAAGATTAAATTTCACAAAATCAGGGCAGAACACTCGTCAGTGGCTGAAATAAAGTTGCGACGGAGCTAAATGTAACTCCAATTTGATATAAGCTGTTAATCAGTCAGCTACAACATAGGACCAGGCACATATATGAATCGGTCCAAGTTGACACATCTCATTAGCACAAGATGAAAACCGAATTCATGAAATTAGTTACTTTAATGGTAGTGGTACATAAAAAAGATTGTGTATTAGGGTATAATACAAGAAGAAATAATGAGTTCGTAGAAAAAAGGGTACAAAACAATTTTTAATGTCACGGCCTTTGGGAAGATAGAGAGTGTATACATCAACGCCACTGTGATCGATTCTGAGCCATGTCACCCAGAGTCTCCAACCATTGGTAACGATAGACACCCGGACCCCAACCAAGTAGTCTGCATCTACCAACACAGCTAAGACTAGAAGTTAGTGACTTCAAGCACTAATTCCACGTTTTGATTTGGCTGTCCTGTCGCTGTACTTTCACTCATTCCTACGTAGTTAACAGATGAAGCTCAGTTTCACAAGGTTCGTGAAAAATCTGCTTATACGCGAGTTGTTAGAATTTCAACATATAGCAGTAAACTGACGATATGAAAAAGCTTTATAAAACTCATAAAAACTAGTATTGTTAAGTAATAAACAAATCAGTTCTCAGTTGTCGTGGCGTCTTATCAATATGACTAATATTCTTCCATTCTTGGTCGTATTAGACACAACGTTCATTGGTTTGACAAGTCGACAATAATTTAACAAATTCAGTAATATATCCATCAGTGAAACTGTTGAAAATCTAGTTACTTAATAAAGATGGTTGTTAGAGTCTTATTATTGCTGATTTTATTATTATGTCATTGATGAGTTATATGTTGGAGTAGTGTTTTGCAAATCACTCGCTAGATGTAATCTGTCTGTTATTAAGGTTAGATAACATCAAATGTTGTTAACTAGCTTGAAATATCTTACTGGCATTCTGTGACTGTAAAGCAGCACCAAACGGATATGTTGGGCTGTTGGTTTCATGCAGCTTTTTGTTCTGCATCATATTTCCTTGCTAGTAATCATAATCATAAACTCGGCTGCTGGAGGTACCTGAAAAGGAAATTGGATTAGAAGTGGTCACAGTGACCTGAGAGCGTGACCGCAGTGCCCAAGGGACAGCTACTTGAGGTCGGTCACACACGACGTTTTATGAGTAGTTTCTGTGTTAGCTCCGTACTTGTTGAAACGTTACCGCCGGAGACGGATATCCGTGGGATAAGGCAAGGTGTGAATTTTTAGGGTCGACCTTTTCTAACCCCACCCCTCCTTGTGGGAGGGCAGCATCGCTGTCATGCGGGTTGTGTGAAGGAAACACCTTACTGCTGTCACACCACTGCACAGTCAGCAGTACGACTTCGCCTTCGGACCTTGGTTTTGTTGCTTTTAGTCTTACCGCTATTCATTCAATCGACCTGTCTGGCATGGTAGGACCTTGAGGAACGGTTGTTCCAGCCAGTATAGCTCGATTACTTCATCACGATAGGCAAGCCTGACCATCACGTCAAGGTAGCAACAACGGTCAGGATAAACTCGGCTCCATTCCATTTGATAACAGTACTTACCTATTATTTCGTAACAAACCAATATCTGATTTTAGATTTATTATTGACTGTATTTTATGTCTAGTTTGTAATAAAAAGAGAACAAAATATGTCTTTCTGTTTTTATATTTAGTTTGCAGTTTGATCCCGCACCACGTAGAGGTGAACCACATGTATCAAGACGTACTCCGGACTACTTCTTATGATTCTCATGCTGCCAAATTTTTTTTTCAATGCTTTTTTTCACTGGCCTATAAAAGTAGAAGATTGATCAACAATTGAAATAAGTTCATGTTTTATCCGGTTAACATTGGCCTTTTTTTTGAAAAAAAAACAATAACATTTTGAAACTATCAACTACTGCTACAGCAACACCGATCTTCTGTTTAAACTTTATTGTCCCACTTTTTTTGTTTTCCACTTCCTTTGTTTATATTTAACTATATAAACACTAATAATACCTTGCTAGCCTTTTTATCATTGCATAGAAATATGAGTAGACGTGCACATATGAGTTATTATCGAGCAAAACAATTCATTGACTACAAATATATATATATATATATATATATATATATATATATATAACTCTGTAAATTGGAAATAATGGGTAATTTCTAGTCTTTTAAACGTAGGAAAGTTTATTTTCTGGCTAACAACAAATCCATACTTACATAAGTTGCACTCTTGGATTCATATTTTGAATCTGTTATTACCAACTTTCATTTTTACAAAACTGTGTTTAGCTATATACCTAATACTTGATCACGTATAGTAATAATAATAACAACAGTATTCTATATATAAGCAATTCAGTTAGTTGAGTTTTTTTTTTTTCTGTTTTCATGTTAACAATCTAATTAATTTCCGATTTGTATTAGCGTTTTACTAAAGTTCCTTACCCTATAATATCTCATTTCTGTTTGTGAATGCGTTCACTAAAACACTCGGAAAGATTTTCTGCTATAATATATTGATCCACGATTTGTAGTTATTATCTATCATCCCTAATTCATTGATCACTAGATGTTAAATTTTTTATAGCATATGAAGATTTGTAAGACTCTTCAGTTGTGTTCTCAACTCATAATTTGTGACACTGTTATTGATAAATATATTTCCTTGACAATATATTTTTGATGCCTATATCATTTATTAATATAGAGGTTTGAACAAATTGTTCAATTCAAGCTTAGTAGCTTAATTTAAAAGTGTTTGTAGATCTGAGTTTTTGAAAACCTAAAGTTCTCAATTTTATGTTTGTTTGCTTGCTTGTTACTCTATGTATAATGATGCAGACCTACTCGTGTGGATGTGCAGCATCCTAAGATCAGTATACTAAGATTATTCTGGATAGATATTGACAAGCTATTTTATCATCATCTCTTCAAGACATTGCCGTCGTGTTGTAAGACAATTAAGTAAACACTGCTGAGGTTGGATGTGTATTACCAGGTAACTGCAATTCAGTTGATAAGTATGTAAAACCTCAACCGGCGGTTGAGACATGTTTTACATAGACCTAAGGCTGGTTAGTTCGGGGATTTCAAAGATGTGTACGAATATCAAGACACAACGATAATCCCTGAAATTTTCAACTTTTTACTGACCTCCAGTAATGTTAGCAGGATAACCTATGATCGCGCAAAACAAGGAAATGGAGGTCTTATTGTTTCATAGACTTCCCTAGTAAAAGTTACGTTGAGCTAGTTAACAGGCTAGCAAAGTAATCAACAGAACGTGGTTTTCAATTGACAAGAAGCTTCGTCTCGGTCCTTGTTAGCTTCCTCTTTTGTCGGTTCGATTCACTGGTGCTATTCTCAACAGTCGTAGCTGTCCACTCAATGACTTCTCTCAGGTTGATCATCTAGTATAGATTATAAGGCTATTTGTTATGGTAGAACTTCAAAAAACATCATACTCGTACTCACTATATGGTTATTTTAGGAAAAGACAATTATGGATCTTTCTTTACAGACGAACAGCTTTAGACTCATGTTATGGATGTCAGGGTGTTTCAAAGCCAATACGTTGTAACTGGTGTTTCGTACACCCTTAAAATAAAGGTGAATAATTTTTTTCATACTATAAGAACTCAGCTATTAATTCCTTCGTAATAAACGGGGATCAACTTTTCAAGCACAGGTATTTCTATCTACCGAAAGATTTAGAAACTATTGGGTTCCCGGTCTATTGAGACTTCGTACCTACTTAAGTAATTAAATGTTCACATAATTAGCAATAAAGTATATTATTTATTTATTTAATTTAACAAATAGATATTGGTACAAGGAGGCACAAAATACATATGCGCCACACAAATCTCATTTGATATGGATACAGAGGATCCATCTGCGGAGGTTGTAAAACCTTTATTCTATACCAATAATGCACATAGTTTCCAGTGTCCTAAAGGGGAACAAATGATATATAAACCAATTGTTGGTTACCGTTTACTATGAGACTACATCTCCTAATGTTGCTTTACTGACTTATGGATCAGATCTTTAAGTCGAAGACTCCATGTATGACCTTTTAAGAAAACCATCTGCTTAGGTTTGGGCATCCAGATTAAAATCTCATACTCTATCATTAGTAAGATTAACTCTTTTATTGATTGACAAATAATTTATTTGGTACCTACTTTTAATGAAAACTAATTATTCACATAATAACATACATGTATATGTTTATACACATAAAGTACATTGTTCACATTATAATAGTAGTATGCTATAATCATCTTAATCATAATATAACCTATATATCTTATTATAATACTGATAATCAATAAACAAATGGATCATTTTGTAATTGTTAAGTAATTCCTTATAATTGATAATCACTTTAAAAGGTAAAATTAAAACTAGACATTTTTTCATGATCAAATTTGTAATATTTCAATATCAGTATCAATATGATCGAATTGTGTAGTGATCAATCGATTATTAATATTATTATTATTCAACTTCATACAATTAATTGAATTCTGATTGTTTAGGATGTTCGATTCATTCGATAGTTGATTAACTGTTTGATGATTTGATAACCATAATGGTTGTTTGAATGTATCTTGATTATGATCTTTATTATTACTTTTTTGATGAATACCTATTTTCCTATTTGAATGATGTATAGATTGATTGATAGTGTTACTCAATAGGATTCCATTATTAGAAGAAGGTTGATATGGTTGATTTATCACTTGCTGAAATGTTTATGTAAATAAACAGAAAAAAGAAAAGAGTAAAATACAGTATAATGAGTATAGATATACTTAATTCTATAACTATCTCTGCCACTACGAGATTCGAATTGACAACTACATCACTGTGCTAATGTGGTATAGCAATTCGAAATGATGTACGTACGTACGAGGTTCTACGTTGTCACTGATTGACTAACTGACTGAGTTATACTTACGTATAAATAATTTATTAGACTTGTAAACTACTTTATTTGCATTTTTTTTTTTTTCATTCTGACACATCTCAATGGTATAAACTTCAACCGTCAATATAAGTAATAATTGTGTAGTATTTCGAGGAGGTGGATCAAATTTCCATACAAATAATTTACAACTATAATTCTACCTAAAGTCTTTCTGAGGATACTGCTGATTCGAAGCCCGGGTAATGAATGAGGACTGGGCATGATGACAGCTATGTCATCTCATAGAAAATTAAGTCGACAAAAAGAACGCTAACGAGAATGCTCGTACAATGTAGAAAACCGGGAGAGTATTCCAAATTGTTGCAGAAATTTATAAATATGAGAACTTGATAAAACACTGCTACAATCGCCTCATAGGAATTTATTGATGTGAAAAAAAACTATCATTGAATAACTATTATCAATAATTGAATTCATAAGTCAATTGAAGCTAGATCACCATAGAAAACGTGAACGCACTTGACGGGCGTTTCATCCTATGATGAGAAGCCATGACAAATTGGGTTCAACCGGGTCGGTTGTGAGATAGTGACTCACTGAAGACAATGGTGGACGGTGGCGCAATTTCGTAGATAGGTTGAAGTTAGACATTAGCACCATTCGATGCTCGCTCACTGGTCTAGAGGTTAAGTGTTCGTGTGCGAGACGAATTGGTCCGCGGTTCGAATTTCGCGGGGCGGGATCGTGGATGCGTACTGCTGAGGAGTCCCATACTAGGATAAAACGGTTGTTCAGATCTTTGCATGGTGGTCTAAATACAATTGTCTTAGGAATTCATTTATTAAATTATTACAATCTCCACAAAACCCCTGTCTGATTATAGTACTATTTTACTTTTTATGGTCAAGTTTTATGCGATCATACTTATTGTCAGGTTGATCATAATGAGCCTCGAACTAAGTAATTAACAAATATACAAAGTCTATGATGAATAAATGAATCATTGGCTTATGGAAGATCACTGGCTGTATTTTTCTATCTACGTATACGTATCACAGTTGTTCAATTTAAGTTCCTATTAATGTTTTTCCTCTGCATAGCTAGCTACCTAGTCAAGTTTAAATAAAAGGATAGTAAATAAATTCAACTGAAGAAAATAACAAACAATTCTCTCAAAGCTAATTACTTCACTTTCAGTCAGTCAGCTGCAACGTAGGACCAGGCACGTATATGCATCGGTCCAAGTTGCCATTCCGCCTTAGCACAGCAAGATGAACACCGGATTCATAGAAGTAGTTATTTCAGTGGTGGTAATATATAAAAGAAAGATTGTGTATAAGGATATAATACAGAAAGAAAAAATTGGTCCGTAGAAAGAAAGATTTCAAGCGGTTTTAATCTCTTAGTTTAAAGGAAGACAGAGTGTATATGCCGACGCCATTGCGATCGATTCTAAGCCATGTCATACAGTCTCCAACCATTGATTACGATAATCGCGCGGACCTCAACCGAGTATTCTGCATCTACCAACATGGCTCAGACCAGAAATTAGTGACTTGAAGGACTGATGCCACGTTTTGGTTTGACTGCTCCTAACTTTCTTCCAATTATCCCTAACACCAGTGAGCATTGCACGTCGTGGTAATCGGTGTTCAGGCATATGGAACACAGCCCAACCATCTCAGTTGATGAAGATTCATAACCTCATCAACTGATTTGCCCTCATTCTCTAATACCCTACGTCTAACTTCACTATTACTTATCCGGTGATCCCAGCAATATTTCTAAAGCATCTGTGGTCAAATACTTGTAGCTTACGAGTATCTTTTACTCTTAAAGGCAATGTTTCACAGCCGTATAGTAGAACGGAACAAACTGTCGCTCAGTATACTCGACGCCTAATTGATAGACGGATATCTCGCCTAGGCCATAGGTCACGTAAGTTGGCGAAAGGCAAATGAGCGTTTCGAATCCGTGCTAAGATTTTGTCAGACACCAACCCATTAGAGCTGATCAGACTTCCATTTTAATAGGAATATTAATCTTATTAAATCATAGTAATTCATTTATTCTATAGATTATCTTCAATTGTATACCACTAGTATATAACGATGGACAGTAAGGAACGAGAACGAGAGCAGAGAATGATTAGTATGAAAACAAAAGAAGAAAAAAAAAACGATAAAATGTGAGACGGTAAACTGATATTTTCAAAAGGAACAGTGAACTTTAAGAAAATGAATTGATATTTTGCAAACGATGTATTTACTGTATGTATTAGGGACGATAAATCCCCAAAACACATTCTTTAATTTTATCTTTGTGGAACTTGTATGCCGATGTATGCTTGGGCATTTCTTACCACCCACGCTCCATGGCAATATCGATTATATGTATTTATATTTATACCTTTTAAAATCGTGTTTGTTTTCTGGCTGTTGCAGAATATACTTCTCATTCTAATCTTGGACTTCTCCCTTTAGATAGCAGGGCTGGGACTCATCAATAGCTAGCTTACTGGTGTTTGGTCACAGAGTCTTGTTCTCGTTCGCAGATTAAATGAACTCGTGATAGCTTCCAACCTAGCAGTATGATTCTCAGATTTTAATGAGATGTTCTGTAATTTCATGTTCGAATACATTCGAAGTTGAAGACAATAGGGAGATAGATCAGTATAGAAGATTTATTTATGAAAAAGATTGGTAATAATTATGTAACAAATATTGCTGTAATCAATATGAATGCAAAAATTAGACCATATGTTATTGATTATCAAAGGATAACTATTCATTTACATAAGTTCATTGAAGCTAGACCACTATGAAAAACTAGAAGTACTGAACGGCCGTTCCGTCCTATTTTAAGACTGCTCAGTGGTAGTGCTCATCCAAAATCTCGCCACGCGAGATTCGAACCTAAGACCTACCAGTCTTGTGCATGAGCGTTAAACCATTAGATCATTGAGCCAGCATCCAACAATGTTAATTAGAATAATTATCAGAAAGGGTTTTGTGGAGATTGTAGTAATTTCAATGGTTAAGATCATGAGTCAATTGTAGCTAGATCATCATGGAAAACCTAGAAGCAATGAATAGTCGTTTCGTCTTTATGTGGGATTACGCCTAGGCAGTGCGCATCCACGATCTCGCCTCTTGACATTCGAACCTAGGACCTATCGGTTTCGCGCGCTAGCACATAACCACTGAACCGGCATTCAATGGTGTTAATGTCTGACTTCAACTAATCCATGAAATTACGAGCGACACATCCACCATTGTCTTTAGTGAGTTACCATCTCACAACAGACCTGGTTGAAACGGCCGTCCAATGCTTTCAGGTTTTCCATGGTGGTCTAGCTTCAACTGACTCATGATCTTAACCATTGAAACTATTAGTAAATCACAAACTAACTAAAGCCTAATATTTGAACTATTTAAACATATAAACATAGGTCTAAGATGGCACCAAATATATATGCGTCATATAAATCATTCAATTTATGTGAGAGCGAGGATATTGTCCAGTTGCCCAAACCAAAGCAGGTGGTTTTCTTATGGGGGAGGGTCACATTCATATCTATCAACTTGGCTAATTATTGTCGGACATTCATCCTCTCGATACCTTAAACAACACCCCCGCCACGAGAAGGCAGTGAGTATGACTTTGCTGGCAGTGGTTGTATTCACATGGCTATATGAAAGCATTTCAAGAGGGAGAGTTGACTTTGAGATGGTGGAGATTTGTAGCTCAGGTGAATGATTATGACTTCTTAACAGTTTCTTAGATGATTTTAATTTGTATAATTACTGTAGTATATAATTCTATGCATTATGACTATACCAAAAAACAAACATCTTACCGATGTATCATTGGCATTTTCTTTTATTGATCCAAATAAATCATTCCATAGTTCTTCTTCTCTTGTCTTTCCAGTACTAATTTATGAAATGATAAATCACACCAAAATTACAATCAAAAAGTAACTTAAATATGGTAAAAATTGTATTAAATTTATTTAAAAGTAACTCGTCACTTGACACGGTTGCTTACTCTCACCCTTTCTCCTGGTGATCAACTGGATCATGAACACGTCAACATCTGAAGGGAAGCACGGAATACAGTGGACATCTAGAATGCGATTTGATTATCTAGACTTCTCAGATGATCTGGCTCTTCTATCTCAAACGCAACAACAAATGCAGCAGAAGACGACCAGTGTAGTAGCTGCAATAGGTCTCAATATGCACAAAGAGAAAAGCAAGATTCTCCGATACAACACAGCATGCAGCAATTCAATCAAAATTGGCGAAGAAGATTTGGAAGATGTACAAATCTTTACATATTTGGGCAGTATCATCGATAAACACTGTGGATCTGATGAAGATGTGAAAGCACGGATCGGAAAAGCAAGAGCAGTATACTTACAACTGAAGAACATCTGGAACTCAAAACAATTGACAACCAACACCAAAGCCAGAATTTTCAATGCAAATATTAAGATAGTTCTACTGTATGGGGCCGAAACCTGGAAGACCACAAAAGCCATCATCCAGAAGATTCAGGTGTTTGTTAACAGTTGTTTACTCAAAATACTTCAGATCCGTTGGTCGGAGAACAAATCAGATCCCAGTGGAGGAAGAAATCAGATCCTATTGATCAAGTTGGAATGTAGCAATCAATTTAAGTGACTCAATTTTTTGTGAACTATAGATTTGATTATAGCTGACTGAAGTTAGCCAACAGGAAACCGTGAGCTTAAGTCTCGTTAACATAGTAGGTATTCATCAACACAGATTATCTGAAGTTGTGAAGGAACTGATGCTCCCTATGAAACCTAAATATTTCATAGTGATTTGCTAATATAATCTCACATTACATTTTTTGGGAATGATTTTATCACACCATAACAAGTTAGTTAAGGCGTAGGCAAAAGCGCAATTTAACAATGTAGTAATCAGTTAGTTACTCTTGGAGAATTAGAACTAATCAGTTACATAAAATTTTTGATCGAGATCGTGAACTGATTGGTGTGAGACCACCATTGAAAACTTGGAACCGAAATTTATCAAAACCGGACAAAATTTTCCATAAAATGGGGAGATTAGAAACTTTCGAAGCAACAGTCGATCCAATGCGTGTACTACAAGATAAAGTGAGATAAATGAATGTTCATCGCAATAAATTTGTGGTTTTGCTGCAGCAAAACATCACTTAATAAATATGAGAACATCTGGTATTCAAGCAATACAACGGACATCTAAAAAAAACCCACAGCATTTGAAATACGGAATGAACGCTACTTGTAAAGCCGTTCAAGATTGTTGAAACGGAAAGGCGGACAACTTTGAAAGGGTCTGATATTTTTGACAAACCTGATGATACATATAATACAATTACTAGAAGTTAGACCACCATGGAAAACCTGGGAACACTGGACGGCCGTTTCGTTCTAGTATGGGACTCCTCAGCAGTGCGCATCCACGATCCCGCCCCCCGGTGGGATACGAACCCAGGACCTATCAGTCTCGCGCCAGGCGCTTAACCAACTAGACCACTGAGCCGGCATCCAACGGTGGGGGGACCGTGGATGCGCACTGCTGAGGAGTCCCATACTAGGATGAAACGGCCGCCCAGTGCTTCCAGGTTATCCATGTTGGTCTAGCTTCAATTGATTCATGATTTCAACTATTGATATAATACAATTGTTTAAAACTACTTAACTTACTTATTATTCATCGAATTGTTATTAGGATTATGATTTTCATATGGTTTATGATGGATTTCCTGTTTATCGATTTCTTGAAGTGTTTGTATTAAATGTAATTTATATTTTCTTTCTTCTATTTCATTTTCTTCTATTTTTTTTATGTTTTTCTCATTTATATTACTTATATGATTCATTTGAGTAGTATAGGAATTATCAACTTCATTATGATCAATGGGAAGATTATTATTATTATGATCATGCAATTTTCCAATGGATTCATTCATTAATTTTACTTCAGTATCATTATTGTTACTATTCATTTGACTATGATTATTATTTAACAGAACAGAAATATCAGAAAGGGGTTTATGTGGATATTATAGTAATTATGATAATAGTTGAGATGATGAGTCAATTGAAGCTAGACAACCGTGGAAATCCTGGAGAACACTAAAAGACCGTTTCGTCCTATTGTGGGACTCTTCAGCAGTGCACATCCATGATCTTGCACTTGGAACTTAAATTCAGGATCTGTCGGTCTCATGAGCGAGCGCTTAACCTCTAACTTCAATTGATTCATGATCTCAACTTTTAAAACTGAACTAGTTAAATGATTAACAAAATAAGAATGACATGTATTTTTTGGAAAATATGTAAGACAATTACCGATCATAAGTAAAGTAGATTTCTAGCAAGAAGCTGTTACCTGCAGATATAATTAGATTAAAAATGCGGTAACTATTATTCATTGAACTGGATAATCACCTTGTCATCTAGTCATAAAATGAAATGTTCAAAGTGTGAACTATATGGTTAGTCACAAAGTAGGACCAGGCACATATATGCATTGGTCCAAGTTGCCATACCTCATTAGCACAACAAGATGAACACTGGTTTCATCTCAATAGTAATCATCTGTGTGATCATCATTTCATCCTACTGAAAATTCATTCATCCATTTGGATAAATAAAGTTTTTGGCATTATAGTTGATTGTCAGTTCATAATGAAAACTAAACCATTAACTGTAAATTATAATCTTTATTCTTTAAACTGCTTTATAACCTTTATTTAACCCTTGTAAGTAGGTAGACATTCTCAAGGTCACTTTAGCATCCACGTTGTATATGTGGCCACTACTCTAGGTGACATGACATTAAGTGCACTATGTTGAGATAAGATGATGGTTAGTTCACTTTGACTAGCAATGAAAGGTGGATACATCTATATTATCATAGTATAGAACCCTTCTAAAGACTATATTGAAGATCGAACATAGAACTATAAAGTTCACACTTAATGTCCCTAACAATAAGATAAATAAATTATACATGAATAATGATAGTGGTTTTCACTCGTGACATTGATAGACTTCTCAAGTCACAAATTTTCATAAAATATTCAAAGAATCATCTAATAACAAGTCATTAAAAGAAAACTGACGATTTCTATCGATCATAAATTTAGAATTTGAGTTATCTATTATTTATTTATTTATTTATATAAATATACTACCCGGCTACTCAAACCCAAGCAGGTGGTTTTCTTCGGGGGGAGGGGCCATACTCATATCCACTAACCCAATTAAAGTGTCAGACATTCGCTTCTTTTCCCCTTAATATCTTAACTAACATCCCCGCCATGAGAAGGCAGTGAGTAGGATTTCTCTAACAGTAGTTGTATGCACATGGCTATATGAGAGCATATCAAGAGGAAGAGTTGACTCTACCCACTTTCAACCGTACCAGGGCATTTGGACGGTTCAACAAGAATCTATGGTACAGTATGAATACTTTGTTTTAATACAATTGAGATTTTTTAAACAAATATAAATTACATACTTTTCTTTATTGTTTTGAAGATTGGAATCCTCTGAAATAGAAATTCATTTAAGAGATCTAATAACACACATATAGACATGATTAGTTAATTATATGTTCTAAAAAAATCTAATTATATAGATCCATTCAGAAGAAACATTGTTATAATCAGAGAGGGCTTTATGTGGATATTATAGTAATTTAATAGTTGAATTCATAAGTCATTTGGAGCTAGATAGGTCCTGAGTCCGAATCTCACGAAGTGGGGTCGTGGATACGCACTGTTGAGGAGTTCCATACTAGGACGAAACAAACGTCCAGTGCTTCCAGTTTTTCCATGGTGGTGTAGATTGAATTGATTGCATGAATTCAACTATTCAAGAAACATTGACATTTGATCAGGGGTTTTGTAAATTACCGATATTTTTTTTGTGTTGGTTAATCTATAAAATTTTTATACAAGTTGAGTTGATTGTTAAGATCTAAGAGTAACAACTGTGATTTATAAGTGATGAAATAGAAGTATTCCACCTTACGTTTGTGTTGATGATGTCATTGAGAAGGAGGTTGAAAGCTCCACGACTAAACCATCCATCTCAGAGAATAAAACTTCATCAATATCAGCCACCTGAGCTATAAATCTTCTCCACCATAGGTTTTTTGGAGTGTTGAAATTTATGAGAATAGTTAATATGTTGACGTAATAAATTATACACAATGATACAATATGGCTAAATAATAGAGGCATACGAGGCCACAAGCTAGAGGCGGCCAGACCAAAACATGGCACAAATCCATCAACTCATTGACAAGTTGTCTCAGCCATCTTGATGGATGTAGACTAACTGGGTAGTGATCAATGTCATATGTGTCAGGTCGTTCCTAGTGCAGACCAAATGCTATCGACCAGATTACGATGTAACCACTAGTCTAGCTGACTCGACAATGGGACAAGATGATGATTGAAGGTAGTCAACAGGAAACCCTAGACCTGGGTTTCGTGCTATTTGGCACTCGTCAGCAAGGTGTACCTGTAATCTTGAGGGAACCGGTGCTCTCTGATGGATTCGATCCTGTGTCATCCAGCTTCACTGTCAGAGACGTTACCACTGAGCTGTCCTGGCTGTGACCGATCTCCTATGTATTCACAATTGATTGATCACTAGCTAGTGATCAATGTCATGTGTGTCAGATCGTTCTTAGTGCAGATTGAATGCTATCAGTCAAGTAGAATTCTCAGCACTGGATTCGATGCCTATTTAAATAGTTAGAACAAGAAGTGTACTAATAAGACAAAATGGTTATTTAGTGCTTTATCATTATCATTAGCTGTCTAATTGAAATCAATTCATGATTTAAATCATATTTCTATTAGTTTCTGTTAGATGTGAACAAATGATCAAGCTAACTCATCAAAGTTAAAATGAATACGAGAACAAGTGATGGACTTACTTATTTGATGGTTCTCCTAAAAAGTGTAGAAAAACAATTTAATAAATAAATCTAAATTAAAATACAATAGGCAACCAGATATATATTCTGTTTATGTTAAGTTCGTTACTTGATTAACGCGCCCCCAAATGCCCTGGTACGGCCGAGAGTGGGGAGAGTCCGCTCTCCCTCTCCAAATGCTCTCACATGGCCACGCGTATGTTGCCTCTGCCACGGAAGTCCTACTCACTACCTTCTCGCACCACGGGTGTTGTTTACGAAAATGAGAGGACTAAAAGCGAATGTCCGGCGCTTTAACCGGATCCCAATCCAATGGTGCACATGAGCTAACTCCAGTATGCTGAAGGAACAAATGGCATATGAACCAGTCGTTGGTCACCGGCTACCATGGGACTGCATCTCCTTACGATGCTCCAATGCCTTGTGGATCAGACGTTAAAGTTGAAGGCTCGGGGTATGGCCCCCTAAGAAAACCACGTGCTTCGGTTTGGGCACCCGGGTAGTATTACAGCCCTCACACATATGAAATGAGATTTGTGTGGCACATATGTATTTGGTGCCTCTTTGTACCAATATCTATGTGTTAAAATAAATAAATTGATTAACGCAGAATACGGTCTATGACTACGACGCTCGAACGTTGGAACTTCACCGTCGCAAATCAGAAGACAGAAGAAAAACTGGAGAAGTGTTTATATGGTAAGAATCGAGACTTCAATAGTTGAAATCATGAGTCAATTGATGCTAGAACACCATGGAAATCCTAGAAGCACTTGACTCATGATTTCAACTATTGAAATTACTAAGATCTCTACAAAACCCCATCTGATAATAATTATCTGCTCTTTAGTGACTGAATTCAAGAGACATTCCTGAAGTCCTAGTGATAAGCCGTTACCAGTGGAGTTCAACCAGGTGTGTTGTTGAGATATCAACTTACTGAAGAGAATGGTGTACGGTTGGCGCAACTTCGTGAATTGGTTGAAGTTAGATATTAACACCGTTCGATGCCGGCTCAGTGGTCTAATGGTTAAGCCCTCGCGGGCGAGACTGGTAGGTCTTGAGTTCGAATCTCGCGGGGGGGCGGGATCGTGAATGTGCACTGCTCAGGAGTCTCATACTAGAACGAAACGGTCGTCCAGTGCTTCCAGGTTTTTCATGATGGTCTAGTTTCAATTTACTCATGATTTCAACTAGTAAAAATAGCTTACTTAATAAGACAAAATAGGAAGAAACTCTTAGTAAATCACTAGGAGAAGATTTTCTATGACCATCGACTTTAAATAATGAGAAAATTACGGAAATCTTAAGGATGAGAATCTCTTCAAGCTATGAATAATTTCATTAAAACTAATAATTTTGACATCAACTTTAAAGACAAGTACTTATACCTCTCCTGATCTACCAGGATGTTTGGTACCTATATGGTTGTGTTACAGGATTGAGCTATACTATTCAGATTGTAGCATTAAAGCCTATACAGTATCTAGTTCTCATATGAAGAGTGATTGAGTTTTACTGCTCGGTTTATAAAATTTAAACCTAGGTGGTGTTTGGCTCTCCTGTTGAACAGGAATGAGCTGTACTGTTTGGGTTGTCACGTGAAAGTCTGGATGGTGTGTGTTTCTCCTGAAGATCAATGTAAAATTACCCTGGCCCACAAGGGTATATTATATCACTATGAACTAACTTATACTTTACTACTTTGTTTATGAACTTAATTAAATAGTTTCCTAATATCTTAGTTACTATGTTCATTAAAATCAGTCAGTAAAGTAAATAACAAACTGACTGACATATTCGTAAACATTCTATAATAATAATAACAACGGTCAGTCAATCAGTCAGCTACAATGTAAGACCAGGCACGTATATGCATCGGTCCAAGTTGCCATTCCGCCTTAGCACAACAAGATAAACACCGGATTCATAGAAGTAGTCACATCAAAGGTAGTAGTATATAAAAGAAAGATTGTGTATAAGGATATAATACAGGAAGAAAGAAGTAGTACGTACAAAGAAACATATGAAGCGATTTCAATCTCATAGTTTAAGGCGAGACAGAGAGTGTATACACCGACGCCATTGTGATCGATTCTGAGCCATACCACTTACAGTCTCCAAACATTAGTTACGATAGTCATGAGGACCTCAACCAAGTTGTCTGCATCTACAAACACAGCTCAAACTAGAAGTTAGTGTCTTCAAACACTGATGCCACGTTTTGGTTCGGCCGCCCCCCTAACTTTCTTCCAACCATCCCCAACATTAGTCATCATTAAGCGTCATGGTAATCGGTGTCTAGGCATACGTAACACGTGACCTAACCATCTCAGTTGATAAAGATTCACAACTTCATCAATTGATTTACGATCATTCCTTAATACATTGAGTCTAACCTTTCTATTACTTATCCGGTGATCTCATCCGATGTGAGCATTCTGTCCAAGACATCTATGATCAAATAATAATAACAAAGAATACAAACAAACAAAACACTTACAATCACTTCTTTCGATAAATTTTCTTTTTTCTGATCTACATGATGTTCATGATCATTTGATAGTTTACCATTCATCATTAATGGATCTACTTCTAAATTGGATTCTATATTATTCTTTATTGTAGGCATTTGTTGTAATCCTTTACATATATTGACATCATGAGATGATAATAATGATGATGTTACATCATCATTGGGTTTATTGTGATTGTTATCATGAACAATAATTGGTGGTAGTCTAGGTGAAGATTTATCATTAGAATTACAATTATATTGATCAATTAATGAATGATTAGATTTTGTTAGTTCTTCTTTACGATCAATATGATTGTTCATTTCATCATTTGTTAAACACATAGATGATAAACTAGGTAAATGATTCAGTATAAGATTTTTTGGTATACGATGACTATAAACATTTTGTAATTCTAGTAATTTTGTTTTCTCCTATAAAAAAAAAAAAGAATATTACAATTTAAACAAGAATAATAATGATAAATTCATATCAAAAAGAGGTTTATGTAGAGATTGTAGTAACTTCAATAGTTGAGATTATGAGTTAGTTGAAGTTAGATCATTATGGAACACCTGAACGCACTGGACGGCTGCTTTGTCCCACTTTGAGACTCATCAGCAGTGCATATCCACGATCTTGAACACGGGAATCGAACTTAGGACCTACGGGTGTGGCATGCGAACGCTTAAACTGTAGACCAATGAGCCGACATCCAACGATGTTAATGTCTAACATCAATTCATTGACGAAATTAAGAGATACATCCACCATTGTCTTCAGTGAGTTGATATCTCAAAACAGACCTGATTGAACTCCACTGGTAACGGATTCTCACTAGAACTCCAGGAAATACCTCTTGAAGCCATTCACTAGTGAGCATATGTTGATAAATATCAGAAGGGTTTTTGTGGATATTATAGTAATCTCAATAGTTGAGATCATGAGTTAATTAAATCTAGATCATCATGGAAAACCTGTAAACACTGGACGGGCACTTCGTCCCATTTTAGGACTCCTCAGCAAGGCGCATTCACGATCTCGCCTCTCACGGGATTCAAACCCAGGATCTATGGGTGTGGCACGCGAATGCTTAACCATTAATGTTTAACTTCAACCAATTCACGAAGTTGCGCCAACCGTATACCATTCTCTTCAGTAAGTTGATATCTCAACAACAGACCTGATTGAACTTCACTGGTAACGGCTTCTCACTAGAACTTCAGGAAGTATCTCAATATGTTGGATGACATTATAATCAAATACATTTTTTGTTGCATCCTGTGACTCTTTAATAATACTAATAATAATAATATAAGGTAATGGGATGGCTTTCTCGTATTCTAACTTCGAAAAGTGATCTTCAGTAATATTAGCCATTCAGCAAACAGTCAGTATAGTCGGCCTCTGAAGTCATGATAAAATCTCAAAAACGCATTCATCCTTGATCACATAGTTTGAATATTGTTTATTTGCACATCGGTTGTTGATTACACAAAATTCTACTTGTGGATAACGACACGATCTACATAACCAAGTCTATGTAGGTGTCTGTACACTCTCTAGTCATCCGTATATTGTGTAGTACCTATCTGAAGTGACCTTGAAAGTGTACATCTACTGATTAGGACTGATTTCTTAACTCGTTATCTCATACCTGATTAATTCATCCATAAATTATAATCTTAACGATTTAACATTATCAAGATAGATGAAACATTGAATAGTAACATGTTATGAATTACCTGAAGTTGTTGAGTTCTTTCATAAAGTTTATCTTTTAAATGTTGATAGTCTTGTTGTAAATGTCGTAGTTTTTCATTATTTATATTGATTTGTTGTTTATAATTTTTTGTTAATATATCTAATTGATGCTTTAATTGCTACAATATAAATGAAATAGTTGAATAAGTTCATTGAAAGTTTGAATGAAAATCGATTGTTTCCCTAATGTGTGTTTAAGTACCTATACAGCAAAGTTACATTTATAAAGATGATCAGTGAGATATTTAGTCAGTGGCTGATATACTTTAATTCTAAATGATGATACCAGTATATAAGTAAGATTCTAAATTTAAGAGTCTATAATTAACAGATTACATATAACTGAAAGCTATGTAACTATGAAGTAACTGACTGTTAAATGTATCATGTAGATAGATACAGAATAAGTGATTGGAGTTTGTATGATTGTAATAATCAACAGTTGGAGACTTTGGGTAACAACACTGTGTTGGAGTATTCAGAAAATATCCCAGAAATTATCTAATGCAATTCCTGAATGAGAAATGGTGTCATTTCCCCATTGGTCAATATTCTTCCAAAGTGTCATTTTCTCATTGGTCAATATTTATTTGTGTCATTTCCTGGAGGTCAAATCTTGTACAAATGTTACTTTCTATTTTATGGTACGATGTAGTCTGTTTGTTCGGTATATAAACAGGGTATGTTTGAAATATAAGGATTCATATCACAGAGTCTGAGACTTGCGTTCTGAACTCATCTGGCTGGGCTAGACAGGGAAGCAGGGCCAATCAGAACTGTAGACTGTTCTTACGTGTTTACGCGTCTTTGGTCTGATCGATAATTCTCTGCCCTCGCTGTCCTCAAATCCGCACGTCCCAATATATAACACAATGTGAATCAGTTCAAATGATTCAGGTGAACTCATTCTAGTTTTCATTACATCCACTGTTTTATAGTAAATATTATATACCATGAAGAATATCGTCTATATATTATGATTTCTATTATTATTATTATCACTACGATTACTACTACTACTACTACTACCAATATTAATAATAGTACTACTAATTCTGTTACTCTAGAGCTTATCTATATAAGTTCATTTCACTGTATTGGTGAGGTGAGACAACGGTTGATAGAGGTTGATTATGAATACAGTGGTCTTGAGTGCTGTTAGAGGTATGAGGGCGGTTATCACTTCCTGGTTGCCCACACCGTGGAAGGGCTCTTCTGAAGTTACCTAAAAACGAAACTGGGTTAGAGGTGATCTTAATGACCTAAGAGCGTGACTGTTGTGCCCAAGGGACAACTACATGAGGTTGATCACACACGACGTCATTGTGCGTAATTTTCGCGTTAGCTCAGTACTTGTTGAGACCTTACCGTTGGAGACGGATACCCGTGGAATAAGACGAGATGTGCATTTTTAGGGTCGCTCTTCTTTAACCTCAACACTCTTTATGGGAAGGCAGCATCGTTATCATTCTGGTTGTCTGAAGGAAACACCTTGCTGCTGTCACACCTCTATACAGTCAGTAGTATGACTTCGTCTTCGAACCTTGAGTTTGTTGTTTTTGGTCTTACCGCTCTTCAACCGACCTATCTGGCATGGTAGGTTATCGAGGAACGATTATTTCAGCCAGTATAGCTCGATTGCTTTATTACGATAGGCAAGCCCGACCACCACGTCAAGGTAGAAACAAATGTCCAGGGTAGGATAATACGAACCGATGCACATATTAGGCTTTTTTTAACTAATAGAAACTTTGAACCAAGATGAATTCACTTTATTCTACATAGCTTTATTGTTCTCGCTTTATCATAATTGACCAAGCAGTCAATTTACATGAAACCTTTCAAAAATGTGTATTATACTAAAGAAAAAGAAAATAATATTTTGTATTATATGCAAACATGAATAGTGACTAGCAGTGGAATGGAGGACTCGTCAGCTGGATGTACCTGTATCGCAGAGTTGATATTCACTCTGTGAATCGAACCCACTACCACCCGCCTCAAATATTATCGCGTTATCCACTTAACAATTGAGTTCTGACGAGTCCCAAATAGGACGAAACGCGCGGGAAACTGAATCCCACTGCTAGTCACTTTTCATCGTTGCATATAATACTTGTGAATTAAGGCTATATCAAGGCAATAAGAACAGTATGCAAATATGCCAATAAGAGATTGATCTGTTTCAGTCCTAAACATCAATGGAAAGATTAAAAGCAAACAATACCAATTGAATTTATCTTTAGTTTAGCTCTTTACTCATTGTATTTGATGAAATAGTCATTAAGAGTTGAAACAGTGTCTTATACTGAAGGAATATGAAAATACCATATCGTATCTCAACTTAACCTGGAACCCTTGCTCCGGAAGTTACTACCGATCTCAATTCCATATAAAGGAAAAGGGTTGGGTATAGGGGTTAACGACTCCATCCCTTAGATAACTAACTCGCTAAAACCATTATACCCATTTGAAAGCTTACCGAATTTTTCTTTTTTTCTTCTTTTAATTCTATAGTTATATCATAAGTTTTATTATTTCGTTTATATGATATTGATGATCTTTCATCAGTATATTGTGATTGATTATGTTTTTCATCATTCATTGTTTTCTCTAATACATAAACATGTTGTTGTAATTCATGAATTTTTCTTTGATCTATATTGGATTGTAAAATTTTCTCACGTAAACGAATATGTAATGTACGTATTTCTGAATTTAAACGTTCAACAATTTGTGGCATATCAGCTTCTTGTCCTATAGCCTTAATTCATTTTAAAAAAGAAATAATGATTATTCATTATAGAAACTAGTGTTATACCAATACTATAGGTAGATTATATCAATGTAGAGATATATTCTAATTTCTTATCTGATATTCTTTGATGAAGATTATGAATCGATTAATGTTAAACCACCATTGAAAACTTGATAGCATTGGACGGTGGTTTCGTCCTATTGTGGGACTTCTCAACAGTTTGCATCTCACTCATGAGATTAGAACGCAGGGCCGTCAGTCTAGCGCGAAAACGCTTAACCTCCAGAGCTGAGCACTCCTACATTAGGACAAAACAGCCGTCCAGTGCTTTCAAGTATTCAATAGTAATCTAACACCAATCGATTCATGATCTCAATCGAAAACCTTATAATCTCCAAAATCGTTTACTAATAAAACACTCATATCATGAGAAGTGATTGACGCTAGTCTTTAACAATCACTTAGCTGACAGTGAAACATCTGAACTTAAAGTTAAATTACATATCCAATACTTTTCTTTAGCTGAATGGTTACTTAATAGTTGAATTATTCATAAAACTACTTACTTAATTACGCGTTCAAATATTGCTGGTAACTGGCTTGAATCACTTGTAATGATATCAGATTATAACTGAAATCAGTCCATTAGTCAGGCACTATATACGACCAGGCACATATATACATCGGTTCAAGTTGCCATACCGTATTAGTACAACAAAATGAACACCAACTACATAGAATTAGTTAATTCAGTGGTGGTAAGATATAAAAGAAAGATTGCATAATACATAGTACAAGAAGAAAGAGATAGTTCGTAGAGAGAAAGATATGAAGTGATTTTAATCACATAGTTTAAGGGAAGATAGAGAGTGTATACACGGACGCCATTGTGATCGATTTTGAGCAATGTCACACGGTAACGTGGAAACCAACCATGTAGTCTGCATCTACAAACAAAGCTAAGACTAGAAGTTAATGACTTGAAGGACTGATGCCACATTTTGGTTTGACCACCCCCAATTTTTTTCCAACCATCCCCAACACTAGTCAGCATCACGCGTCTTGGCGATCGGATTTCAGGCATGCGCAACACGTAGCCCAACGTACGTACATACATCAGTTCGAGTTGCCATACCACATTAGTACAGAGATTCAGTTATCGACTCAAATCCCGTAGTGGTAGAGGTAGTGAAATTATAAGTAGTAATCGGGAACATTATGGTTTGATGATGTTATTTAAGGAGTATGATCCAATGGGATAGATTTGAAAGGAAAATAAAGGAAATGAAGAATTCAGAAGATTAGAGTTTGAGAGAACACAAAGAGTGCATGCACCTGCGCCATTGCAAACGACTTTGATTCATGTGTCATTTAAGATCTCTAACGATCGTCTCGCGGATCCAAACCAGGTATTCCACACCCACCAACATGGCCCACACAGTCCACTTGTTAGTGACTTGATGGATTTGTGCCATGTTTTGGTCTGGCCGTCCCTAGCTTTCTTCCAACCTACTTCTACACCATAAAACATCGCACGTCGGGGCAGTCGGTGGTCGGGCATACGTAACACATGTCCCAGTCATCTCAACTGATTAAGTTTCACTACTTCATCAATTGATTTGCCATCGTTACCTAGTACCCGTTTCTTGACAACTGTATTACTTACTCGGTGGTTCCAGGATATATATATATAATCAAATATAACTTACTTTATCTAATCGTACAGCTTGCATTTTATATTGTCTTTGTAATGTTTTTAATTCTAATTTACATTCTTTTAATTCTTTATTCAATTGTACAATTAAACTATTTGCATCAGCTAATGCTAATTGATTAGATTCCCATCGTTCTATGAAACCTGATGAGAATTTTTTATTGAAATTTGATTTTTTAGATGAAGATATTGATGAGATATGATCAAACTTTGAATGAGATGAAGGTTTTATTACTGAATTATGTTGTGATAGTTTTGATTTATGATTGATATATTTTAATGCTATAAATTAAAAATGAAAAAGATTCATCAATCAATTTGAAATAAGATAGTGATGATCGAGATCTAAAGATAAAAGTAATAGGTATATAGTGGACAAGAACACGAGTGGGGACAATCAAATGCATTTGAACACGAAATTATAGGATTGTTTTTCATCCCCATTGTTTCCTTCTTGATCTTCTACTGAAATACATTCTATTCTTGACCATCGTCATATACTACGAATGTGGATAAAGGTAGCTTATAGAAAACTCGTTCATACTTTAAAGCATTCGTTTATGCGTGGTTATGCCTGCTGTGTCGAGTTTACAGCGCTGACGTCCATAAATCCTTTGACCTGCCGGAACACCAACATCCGAAATCCAATCGGCAAATGGGACGTTCAGCACCAGCGCTCAAGGTGCCTGCTGATCCAACTACATTCTACGTACACCCAGTATCCGCACATCCCACCGCTCCTGACCGTCGATAGAACCCGCTACAGACAACGTGGTCCCACCAAAACACTCTATCCAACATCATCTCACCGCATTAGACCGTCCTAACTGGTACCTCAGCTCCAGGCCTGCGACGACGTCCGCCAAATAGCACTCTTTCTCACTCCTGATTGGCAGCGACACCAAATGTAGTGAGCAAGAACAAGAGTGAGGACAATCGAGTGTATTTGAACACGAAATTACAGAATTGAACTCCGTTCCCACTCTTTCCTTCTCGATCTTCTACTGAAATGCATTCTATTCGTGACTTCTAATGTGGATATAAGTAGCTCACACCACAGGAGGAAATCAAATAAGAATGAGAAAGCTGTTTCATCAACGACAACTTTGTTTTCAAAATGTCAATTTCAATTAAAGAAAAATCTCTGAGTCTTCCGTAACCAAAATATTATTAAATTACTAAGTTATTAATTACATCAAATTTATTCCGTTTGAAGTGTGATGATGTTGACATTAGATAGCTAAAACATTCTTAAGCTATTTGATTGTCCAGGTCCTAGCTAAACGACTATAATCAGAAATATGAATAGTTGTATTTTGGTTCACTAACTTAACAATCAAAATCACCTTTATATTTGACAGTTACCGTGCAACAAGGAGTATTTATAGTTTTGAAAAGATTGATGAAACTTATGATAATCTAATTCTAATCCAAGTTTATATAGTTAACCATTGATTTTGTTTTATAAATACTAGTACACAGCTTAATTTACCAAATTAAGTAAACTAAGGAAGTCTGTTGAAAGTAAAAGTTACATACACTAGTACAGACTAAGTCTAAAACAAGTACTATATACTACCTTTCTAATGATTATATTTAAATATATAGGTAAATTGGGCGGGACTATAATTTACGGACAAACCAATCAAGTTTATAATAACAGATCATAGATTTTAGTGCAAAATTCATTCATGTATTTGGTTAAATAGAGTCTTGGCATTATAGATTATCTCAGTTTGTGATAAAAAGCCCTAAATCTAATTCTTAACCTTAATTATCAATTGTAAATCATGTTCCTTATTCTTTAAACTGGTTTACAAGTAAGTAGGTAGATACTCTCAAGATCATTTTAACGTTGCTTAAATGTTATCCATAAATTAAAGTCACACTAAAATTTGTATTTCAACGATCATTTTAAGTAACTAAAAACAAACGCCTACTAGAGATTTTATAAGGAAACGTAGTCTAAGTTTCATTCCTTGCTGTCTTTTAAACTAAATACATTTGGTTTTAAAAGTTTTATACTCAAAGAAAGTCATTTATCTTACATGATATAATCGTTTCTTAATTAGCTAGTCATAGAGTCTGGATACGGATTAAGTTTTTAAAAAAAATTAGCTTCTATTCATTTACATAAATGAACTATTTTACCAACATTCATACCAACCATTTTTTTATTACAAAAAAGTAGTTTGGTTACGGCAAAAATGAGCTGGTCTAAAACGAGATATTAATTATATAAAACACGAACATCTGGTTCTTAGTATATGACGTATAAAATCATGGGATAATGTAGATGGTTGTTTCACGTTTCTATGATATTACAGTCATATGTCTTGAATTATTCCCTAGAATTTTTAATCAAAATTATGAATTCACCAAAATTTAGTAATAAATAATTTGATAATGTGGGAACAAATGTACATTATTCAATGGTACTATGTTTTGCATTAGAAAGATGATAATCAAGAAGGTGAAAATAATAGTAGCATCGGTAACCATAGCAAACTCAACATTAAGAATAAACTTTTCAGAAAACGGATGAAATCAAAGAACGGTAAGCATTAAATAATTCAAAGCTAAGAATTAAGTTGAGCGTAAATAAAATCTATGCCTCTGCCACTGTAACTGATTTACAGTGATGGTGAGTGATGTGATCAGTCTTTAATTAAATTGCCGCAGAGTTTTTAACAAGAAAGCTTGTATTTTTTTGGCAAAACTAGGTTAAGACTATGTAAATATACAAAATGAATCCACTTCTTGATTTCCATGTCCCAGTTATTTTCTTATCCACCCGCATACAACCTATGACTGAACAACCTGGAACGAGGTAGCATAATATGCGTGCCATATATACAAAACACCTCGGGTGAAAATTTTTTTCGTACTCTTCTACAAGCTTTTTACATTGCAGTGACTATCCTTCGATTGCCTAAGCATATCCAGTCTAGTCGTTCCATTTAAATGAATATCGATTCAGGGCTTAAAGCAATATTTTAGCAAACATTTCTTCCAACCTATATTTTATGCTTCCCAGAAATGGAATGATACAGAGCAATCCAAAGCACTTTTATTGGTATCCGTGATGTTTTTCTGTAAATTGTTTGAACATATTTGAATAAATAGCCAATTTCACAAAGTAAGGTGATGAGTACCGAAATGAATTTAAAGTGAAAATTAACAAAACATAATTCGTGATGCACCCATCTCTTTCAACAGGGATCGATCAAACGTTACGCATTATGCAACATTTCGGGTTTAAAGTTTTAAGGCATTTGACAACAATCAAGCTTAGCAGATAAACTTACACCCTAAATCATGAACATCCCTTAATGGACTTAAATTTTTACCTGAATATATGGATCCGTTTTCAAAGATGTGTAACTACTACTTACGTAGTATCGATAGCATAACTTAAAAACTGCAATCACCGGATATACGAATTGAGAAAACAGCAGAATAAGACTTTTAAACGATAATGATACTCGTAAGCAGTATAAATCTACCAAGTACTTCCGAAAAATCCAAATGACAATTTCGAAACCAATGTACATTGGTTTCGAAATTTATTGTAACTGTACGTACAGTTACATCGATGAAAATCAACATGACGTTACTCAGGATACAATATTGTGAAATGCGTACATTCCTGTATATCAGTATGTATATACGAGGACGATTTTTGACCATGGTGCCTGTAAGTTAAGGATTTTAAATTGGTCTGAACTTCCTATATTGCCTCATAAATGTTTATGGAATCTAGTCACTCTCATGTAACGATAAATAGATCCCCAAAATAAGTGGTCCTGTTAGCCGTCAACATTTGATACTGAGTTCATTAATTTTAGTGGGGACACCTCATTTAAGAACACTTGTCATCTATCTGCATCAGATCACGAGCGGGTACCACGTGCAACGCATCCCATGGAGCTACTAGCCAACTTAGATTAAACGTTTCTCAATACCATGACATTTCTGCCATATATATATATATATATATATATATATATATAGAAATATATATAGAAATATATATATATATATTCGGCCTGACCCACTATAGATTGAGTCGGTATCTTTTGATCATAAACGTGTTACAACCAGAAGCGTTCTAAAACCCTGAATATATTTGTCGTCTTCACTAGCTGCATGTCTAAAAAAACGTTTTGTCGCACTTTTGATCAAAATCAGAAGTAGTTGATATTTACAAACTCAAAGAAAAACACTATTTTATGCTTCAAAATCAATAGCTTGGAAATGAACAAAATCACATACGTACGTGATTTAGTGTTTGGTTTACTTTCTTTGTTTTGTTTAGAATCCTGCCTCGAAGCTTTAGAACTCTTGAGATCTTTGTTTTCAGAATTTTCGAATTCTGAGTCGGTCTCATAGGTCTCACTACAATCTGGTGTGACTTGATAATTCGGTAATAAGTTACACATCTGGATATGATGTTATCTGAAGTATAACATTGAAAACCATTTCAATGGCTGACCTTTTTATTATTTGGCAATGTGGTCTACGGTCGAATGACTTTGTTTTGTGACGATATCCGGTACCTATATCATCTTAAGTCGATAACCTTGGATAACATCAGGTTTCTACGCAGTTCTAAAAGGCGCTTATTGAGTAAATAATTTTCACCTTGAGGAAGACGGATTGTAACATAACCATCATGAGATCTAATATACCCTATTTATTTCATAAGCCGACTGATTTCTTCGATCCAAACCCTCGTTATTTTTCAACGGTTACATGTCTTTAGTGATATCCAATTGATTGCGTCTGGCTACTGAATTGTAACGATTATATTCAGTTTATTATTTAATTGTGGGTCATGTGTTTGGTTGAGGTTATGACGAATGAGTTGTGAATAATAAGGGAGACTGGTTTTAATGCAACATCAAGCATCTATTTTGCTGGTTCTGTTGCCTGATTCATTATGCTGCGCGCTTTCTAAAAGGACAGTGGTATTGTTTCTCGTTAAGTTACTTAACTGTTTTGATCGTAAATTACGCATCAAAACTACAGTTTACACTTTATTTGAATCTACTCCAGTTAAAATGATATTGTATTGAGTGTTTTGATTCTGCTTTTGTGTATTTATTGCATCAAAGCATACTTGGTCGACTTTTACTTGATAATTTAGTCAAGGTTTTAGCATTTTTTTACATATCCTCTTTGTATCACCATTGTATTTGGTTTTCAAGATGCTCAAATCGGCTCATAAATGTGGACAACCATGTTGCTTATTCCCCGTGGAGGAAGGGATGCAATGTGATGAGTGTAAGAAGTGGTTCCACAAGATGTCCACCCGACTAAGCCCCGCTGCATATAAAAGGTGCTCGGGGCCCAACTCTCATTGGCTTTGTAGTTTTTGTTGCTCAAACAAAACAACACTCATCCAGGAAGCCATTAGCCTCCTGTTGTTGGCTAATAAGAAGGTTGACGAGGGCTGCACTGGCAATATTGGTGCTGATAGCGAAGATGGCGTTAGTATCGTAAGTGCTGTCACGGCGCAAGTCAGACATCTAACTGCGCAACCCGAGATCAAAATTTTTACCTCGAAACAATCAATGAGTGACACCTCATTAGATGTTGGTGGCCATGTTGCTACAGCAGCAACTGGTGATCTAGATAAAACAATAATTGTCCCGAGCAGTTCTGATGTAGATGCTACGTCTGACGGAATATGGATGACGCGTAAACGCAAAAGAGTAGGAAAGACAGCTAAAAGTAAGTACTGTTTACTTGATAAGTCTTTGGTGGGCTCTCAGACCACTCCGCCAAAGTCCCAAAGTAAAGCCTCATTAAACATTGTTGTGAGTCACTCGCTCGACTCCAATGACTGTTACAATAAAAACTAGTCGTAAGATACCAGTAGTTAATATACAGGATGTTAGGTCACGATCGATAGCTGTAAACACGATTCCAAAAGAAAATAAACCACTTCCTAGCCTAATTATTTGGAATCTAGAGGAGTCGTTAGACAACGATTCTGCTAAGAGACATGCACATGATCTGAAGTTAGTAGAATCCGTGGTAAGAAACGTACTACTTGAAGAGGTTTCAGGAGTACACATCACGAAAGTGATACGACTCGTTAAATGGGTTGGAGGCGAGATCCAACCAAGAAGGATCTTGAAGCTGGTTCTAGCGAGTTTTGAAGAAAGAGATATATTATTGAAAAACGCTCAAAAAATTCAGGATTCAAAAATTCGTATCCGACCAGATTGGCCGCTTGAGGATCAAATCAAGTGGAAAAATGCTCTTACAGAGTTAAGAACTCGCACGTTAAGTGGCGAAACTAACCTTACCATTAAGGGTTTTCGGGTAGTCAGGTCTTGGAAGCCAATGCTTACGAGGCCTGTATGGGTAGAACGAACGAATACCAAAACACCTTAAGTGTGTGCTACACGAACGCCCGTAGTCTTAGGAATAAAACGTCCGAGCTAAGTCTGATGGTGGATGAATTATGTCCCGATATAATTGTCATCACAGAAACTTGGTTCACCGTAGATATATAATGTTCTCACATCATTGTAGGCTATATCTGTTTTAAAAGTGATAGAGTTTTAAGCCGCAAGGGGGGAGGCGTAATGTTATACATCAGGGACCACTTTCGTCTACAATCAATCATATCGGAGGCTCATGTTAGTGGTACATGTGAGGTAGCATGTTGTAAGATTAAATCTAGAAATGGGTTAGCGTCTACAGGCGGAATATACCGTAGTCCGTGTTGTCTTGCTGACGACTTTATCCTAAGACACATCTGTTCTTGGAGTATGGCAGAATGTTGCCTCATCATTGGGGACTTCAACACTCCGCATATAAACTGGATAGAGCTAACAGCTCCAGGTGGATGTTTTGATAGCGAACTTTTATCAAAAGTTATTCAGTGTGCAGTTGTCCAATGTATCATTAAACCGATACATATTGATCTGAAACGTGATCCTTCACTGCTGGACCTCGCCCTCACCCACCACTGTGAGGATGTCCAAAATGATTGTTTTCGTATGTTAAACGGCAAATAAAACGCAGTGATAGTATTCCCCCATTATTGTTACACGATAATTCAGATTTACTAGCTGAATCAGATCGAGCCAAAGCTGAGACATTTTCAAACTACTTTAGCGAAGTCTGCTCTACGTTTATTGTGACAAATACTTGTCCCAATCACGCCGAGATACCAGCCATTGAATCTGTACAGGTGACTGAAGAAACTGGCTTTTCGTTAATAATTAACCTCAAACCTTGTAATATACCGGGTCCTGAAGGGTTACATCCAGGACTGCTGTCATCTTTTGCGGACATTATTTCAAAACCGCTCGCGACACTCTTCAACATGTCCCTTTCACTCGCTCAACTACCTAGGGATTGGAAAGATGCTATTGTCAGCCCTATATTTAAGGATGGTCAGAGACATATCGTATCTAACTACCGGCCTGTCAGTCTGACTAGCATTGTCGTTAAGTTACTTGAAAAGATAATTCGGGTTAGGTTGCTAAGCCACATAGATTCACACAATTTGTTAGCTCCTGAGCAACATGGATTTCATCATAAGCGTTCATGCTTGACTAACTTACTTACTGCGAGAGAGGATTGGACAGCAGCCTTAGATAAAGGTCTGTCTGTCGATGTTATATTCATAGATTTTAGCAAAGCATTTGACAAGGTTTCACACTTAGGTCATATGCAGAAGCTCACAAGCTTCGGAATAATAGGTTCTGTACAGGAGTGTATAGGAAACTTCATATGTGACCGCAGACAGAGAGTTAGGGTCAATCGGACGCTATCCGATTGGAAGCCGGTCAAAAGTCGTGTACCCCAAGACACCTTATTAGGCCCTCTGCTATTCATTCTCTACGTAAATGAGTTACCGCAGTTGCCTAGGTCGTCGACATTATTATTTGCGGATGATGTCAAAATATGGAGAGCAATAAGAGGTGTGGCTGATCATCTGGATCTTCAAGCTGACTTAGACGAGTAAGTTAGATGGGCTCGAGATTTGGGTTTAGAAATCAATTCTAGGAAGTGTGCAAATGCACATCGGTCATGGCAATAGTTACCATTATACTATTGATGGTAAACCTCTTCCATGCGTTCAAGAACATAAAAACTTAGGAGTAATAATAAGTCATGATTTAAAAACAACTACGCACTGCAACGCAGCCGCTGTCAAAGGTTTTCGTGCGTTGCGGTCACTTCGCCGAGCGTTCAAATCCTTTGACGAGGAAATGTTTCGAATTTTATATCCCACCTATGTAAGACCATATTTAGAGTACTGTATTCAAGCAGCTAGCCCATGTCTGATAAAGGATACTACCTCACTTGAGCGTATCTAGCGTGTGGGAACGAAATTAGTGAAGGGTCTTTCTAAACTCCCTTACGATGAGCGTTTAAAACGCCTAAACCTTTTCCCCTTGTCGTATCGTAGGACTCGAGGTGACCTTATACTGGCATTTCGTATCTTTAATTATGATTTGGGTGTTAATATGTCTTAGCTTTTGGCTCCCTCCAGCACTAATAATCTCCGAGGTCATAGCAAGAAGGTTCATAAAATACGATCTAAAATACTCAAGGTGTGGTTCCGTTTTTCTCACCGAGTAGTCAATGATTGGAACGCTTTGCCCGATCAAGTGGTATCAGCCCCTTCAGTGAATATTTTCAAAGAGAAACTGGATTTTCACTGGAAGGCAACCTGTTGGGATTAACATAGGTTTACTAACCTACTATCCTTATTACTGAAGACTGACTGAAGCATACCCACCAGAGCCATGGAGGAGGAGGACTAGATATGAACCATTAGAATTGCTGAAGCACTGCAATATCATAGTGACAGTGGACCGAGCCACTACAGAAATCACACTGTAATGCTGATTTGCTGGTTTAAAATAGTGACATGGATGTGAGAATATTATCCTTATATTTGAACGTCTGTAGAACACAACGTTATTCAATTTTGACTCTGATTATAATCAGAGAGTTTTGTGGATATTATAGTAAATTAATTGTTGAATTCATAAGTCAATTGAAGCTAGACCAACATGGAAAACCAAAAAGAACTGGAAGGCCGTTTTTTTTCCTAATATGGGACTCTCCGTGACAGTGCAAACTCACAATCCCATCCCGCGAGATTCAAACCTGGGACTTTCGATCCCTCACGCTTCTAGATTTTAAATGGTTGTCTTAATTAATCAATTCATGACCTTCGCAAACTCATACGGATCAAAAGTGTGTCGCTGCTTCTTTTCTTGTTTATAGATATGGAGTAGCATTTTAGAGCTGATTAACACTTTCATTCTTCTAATGATCTTATTTAGATTATTAACACTAGTTGAGTATTCTCTTTCATAATTGTTTGTTATATGATTGGAAACGGTTTGAAAACTTATTAACACTTTTATATTTGTTATATCTAATTGATATGAATTTCTGGTTC